TCTATTGCACAGTAAATGTGCACGTGTAGACCCACATGCTTACTTCACAGTAAACTATGCTACTGTGCAGTTAAGCATCTCATATAGATGTGCCCATCAAGGCAGCATTCTTAGTACAGAGAACAGGCAGCCTATACAGACAATGCACTTACAAGTAGAACCACACACGAATAAGCAGACAGCAGCTCCTGCATCTGCACCAACCTGAAGCTTAACGCATCATGGAAAACAGTGAAGTTACTCAGTATTCAAATGACAGAGTTATAATTATGGGTGCAAAGGCTACATTCAAAAGAAACTCATCATCACCGAGCCAGACGAGGAAGTAAAACAGTCTTTCTAGAGACTCCAATAATATCCTGTGACTGTTAACTCTGATAACAAACTGTGGTCTCAAGGGAAAAACAACACCTTTCACATATCTGATGGACTGTTTTGTTAAAGTTGTTAACAGATTTTGGTGTCACTTTAGACCTGTGCTGAACAGACAGAATTTGAACTCCCAATAAAACTAAACTGACAGCTATAACAACGTAATAAGTTAAAAAAAAAAAAAAAAAGGAAAAGCCCCTCTGGATCAAATTACTAGATATCCAACATTTATTGTTTTAGGAATTAGAAATTACACCCATGACCATGCTCAAACAGTTTCATTTTCATTTTCATTTTAATTGTGGATTTTGGTTTTTTTAATCAGATAATTTGCCATTTTTATCAGAGAATGTCATTTTTAAAATCAGAGAAAACCAGGATCCCTGACACGATTAAGCAGCAAATTGATATTGCAACATCATGTTGTCTCCAAAATCAACCCAAAAGATTTGTTCCAACACATGCTGAGAATGTGGAGCAAGAATAAAGTTATTATTTCATTTGTGAGAGATTCCTTGGTCATGAAATGCTGCTTTACTTTTCTCACCGACTGCATAATTGAAGGAAGAGCTCTATTATCTTCTTTATCCTTAATCCCAGCTGAGAATGTAGAAAGCAATTTTACTTCTAATTTTCTCCCACTCATTCTTTGATGAGGATCATTCAGAGAAAGCAGGTTAACATTAAATTCCTGACCTGTTAGAAATTCCTTAAAACTGCTCAACTCCTCCAATCACAGGAAGCAAGACAAAGAAACTGGTTTTACATGACTGAGACACAGATCAGATCTAGCATGCTCCCCCTCAGACTCACTGTTACTCCAGCCCAGAGATGCACAACACGCAGCTCATCAGGGCAGTCTCAATGGCCCATGATACATCCTTATTAAACCTCTTTATTAAAAAAAAATATATTTGAAAAGCCAAACAGCAAGTCCTATGCCCTCAGTGCATAGTGGTTTGTTAATTTGTAAGTGCCCCTGTGTGTACAGTCCAGTTTTTGGCTTGCAAATGCTCTGAGGGCTTGCATCCAAGTCACCGCAGATCCTTCTAGCAGCAGCTCACCCCTTAATAATCTTGACTTGTGGACCCTTGCTCCCAAGAAGTAGTTAGAGTCAGTGAACATTAGCCCATGATCACAGGGGTAGTTAGTCATTTAATCTGAAATCAGGCAGAAAGTAAGGCAGGATGTAACCTTAGTCTTTACATGTGATCTGGGGGTGGGGTGGGGTGGGGTGGAGTCACTCTAATTAGAGTGGCTCTCATAGATCCTCTAATTAAAGCACCCACAGCACCTCATGCACTCAGTGTCCCATGCTTCAAAGTGGCAGTGGGGGCATTTGATGAGCTTTAGTTTAAGTGCCCCACCATCGTTTTGAAGTGCAGGGACACTGAATACACAAGCCACATGGAGGTGGCTGAAGCATGCTAATTAGCAAGCTCCAATGCACTATAATTACAGCGCATTATAATTAGAGCACTGTCCCTGCATTACCTAGCTCAAGCATTTGTAGGCGACAGTCTACTTTCATCAGATGCTATGAATGGACTGGCAGTGTTTGGCAATGCTAATTCATTCATAGCATCTCACAAAGTAGGTTGTTGCCTATGAAATTTTACCTCTCTGAACCAGTTAGTATCTTTGATGTGACACAGGCATTGTCTTGAACCTAAATCTGAAGCTGGGACCAGCAAATAAACTCCAGCTTCTTGCCAGCTGGCCCTTCAAAGCACCTGTACTAGTGGTAAAGAACCATGTAATAGTGGATCTTCCTCCTAATGGCCACTCTTTTTGTACTCTCATTGCTGTTATGGGGGCACCATCACAGCTGAAAGGCTTCCCTGGGCAGCTGGCCCCACTAGCACACATAAGCGCAGCCCAAACTGGGCAAAGATGGTTGCAGTAGCTGTTACCATGTTCATGTGCCATCCCCAGTAAAAGCTAAGCTCAGTGATACTAAGTTGTCTTATAATGTCATGCACGAGGTAAAGCAATAACTTAATTGAGTAAAAATGGTCGGTGCTGTGTGATATTGTACCAAGTCTCAACTATGGCCCTGTTTACACTTTACCTGGTTTTGCCAGCAGCAACCATCATAACCCAACTGCCAGACCACATATTATCCATGGGTTCCTGGTGGGTCCACTGTAGCAGCTGTGCTGCTAGAGCATAAGGGTCAGTGGCAGCTAGCAGACGGCATGGAAGAGTTTATACAGGTCCTCTGCTAGCTGTTGGATAGCAGCGCAAGCCTTCTTCCTCCCATTCACCTTCTCCCACCCCCCATTCAGGAGAGGTGGAATAACTCTTCTGGCAGAAATGGGAATTGAACTATGTTGGCAGAACACTGTAGAGTAGACAAGGGTTGTGTATCAAAGTAAATATGTTATGAAACAGCTTTCAATTCAAATTAAATTGAAATTACACAGTGATGAATTCATTAAAATATAAAAACTGCATCTTGACCCTTTCTGGTCTTGCCTATACTGACAAAATAAACTTCCTTTGATAGATAACCTAAGATATCACTCACGGTAGTACTATTAGCTATGAGGATGCAATGAGAAATGAGTCGGGTCCTTTCTCCACAAACTTCTCTCTTCCAATGTAGTCTCATGTTATCTACTCTGTATCACATCTTCTACATCTAGCTGCCTTTCAAAGTTGCTGTGTTCTCTTCTTCATTCTCCTGTTGTGTAAGTTATTCTGTTCTTACTAGAAGCTACCCTGAACCTTTGTTGAGAAGGGAGACATATAAATATAATTAACTAATTAAGTCACTAGACTGGGAAAAAAATTAGACACACCTTCTACAGAAGAATCACTGTTGATGTAAGCAACTGCCCGTTCCTGAAGAACTTTGACATTCTCCTGTAGTTGTGGAAGGGTAAACTTGTTACTTGGTTGATAGCATATGGTCAGGTTGTTTTGAAACGAATAGGATTAGGAACGAAAATTATTCAGGATGAGTTCAGGCAATAACTGATCAAACTTCTTAATTGTTCTGTTCAAAGCCGACAGTCCTATGATTTTTTGCACTTAAGAAGAACTACTGCATGCAGATTTTCATGATTTGTTAGGTAGTGTTTATATTATGATTGCATCTACAGCTCCTGATAGAGGTTCAGCTGTGCTTCAAATTGAAGTTATACCCTGATCCTAGGATGAACTCCATGTAGACAGACACACGGCATCTGCATGGAGCCCCACTGACTGAAGTGGGGCTTTCACATAGGCTCCAGTGCAGGAAGGCACAGTTCATAGCTTGTTCATCTAGCATGCTTTTTACTATTCTATACTTACCTCAGCCCACTCTGTGGAACCTAGTAATCCAAATTCTTCTGCATCCCAGCTAGCAAAAATAATGGTTCTTCTAGGTCTCCAACCTGTCAACACACAGTTGCATTCAACTTACAAGACAGAAGCCTAATAAAGACCCCCACAGTTGACAGGCACTTAAAAAAAAATCCCCCCAGACACCCACTTATCACATCAGACTTGATCTTTCACCAATCATCAGTTTTTAATTCCTCAGATCAGAACACCCACTGTTGTTATTTACAATAAAATATTACAACAGTGTCACTACACATATCACTAAATGGCTTATGATACACTAACAATGAGAGTTAGTATGTAATCAATTTAGATTACATGTCCTGGTAAACTCATTGCAGATATATACCGTATTTTCTTACATACCACATACCCTAAATAAAACAGACACCTTGTTTCTGGAGGGTAGAATGTAGAATACCCCCCCCCCCAAAGAGC